ATGAGAACTCTTATGTCGCGAGTTGAATCATATTTTTTAAATAAATAATTATATTTATGCTCTACTTTTGTATCGAGCACTATTTTTTAATAATAATAACAAAAATACTAAGAAACTTTTGGATTATTTACCTAACCAGTTCTTTTCCTATTTTCTATATATTTTTCACAAACACACATATATATATATATATATATATATATATATATATATATATATATATATATATATATATATATAATTATGACATTACTCTTTTAGCTTGAATCAAATGTTATATGCAGATTAAATTGCTACAAAGAGTAATATTTTAAGTTATTCTTACAGAGAAAAAACGAAGCAAAGGAAGAAAGAGAAAGGTTAAAAATTGAAAATTTGATAAACAAAATTAAAAAGAAAGGAAGAGTTAATCAAGGGAAGAGAAAATATAAATATAAAGCAACCAAATCAACAGGAGAAAAAAAAAAGAAAGAAGGAAGGAAAGAGGACGAAAGAGAAAAAGAAATGCATATAATCTGAAAGAATCAAACAAAGAAAGAAAGAAAAAAGAAAGAAAGAAATAAAGAAAGAGAGAAAAAAGAAAGAAAGAGAGAAAGAACAGTAAAACCTGATCGAAAAGCACTGAAGCCATCAAGTGACTTTAATTACGAAATGAAATAATGCAGGACACGTAATATTTGATGGATCGCCATTTTGTAATGGACTTGAGACTTCTCTGCTGATATAATTCGTTTCTTACAGCGTAGTTCCCAGACGTTTCATTAAGAATAACACAGTTAATTCTAATGGTCTTTACAAAAACAAAAAAAGTTTTCAGAATAATTCGCCAAATAGGGCCCTCAGCGCGCGAAGTAAAGGCAAATTTTAAGTGGGCGAGAATTGAATTTTATTCATCCCAACAGCGAGATTTTCTTTCAAGGTTACCGCCTTACTCAACGAAAGCGTTAATAATGCAAGAGTTAACAACTGTTTTAATCAATGCTTAATGAAATGCTTTATGCTTTGTGTGATTATCTTGATTGAAAATCAATCTCTTACGTTTAATGTTATGATTAAAAATTTATTTTTTTTTAAATATTGTCCTTTTAAATGAAGAAAAATGGCTTCTTGAGAAATTCTTTAAATTGAGAAAACTCCATTTTTTTTCTCTTTGGCACTTTCATCTATTTTTCCTTCAACGGGTGACATCCTACAAGAACTCATCTTCATGCACTTAAGCCTTTTACTTAATGTAATCATTGAAATTTCATTTTGAAATGCTTTCCTGTAGGAAAAAAAGTATAAAAGTTACAAATGTTTGATACTGAGATGATTTAAAATTACGTTTTCGGCATTTACGATTTAATTTTAACACAACACCCAGGGCCTTAGCACTCTTGTTGGAGGAAGCCCTATGTGACTGACCATGGCTTCAAGGATGTAATCGTACTCACTAAGCTTGGCTAATTGCGGATCGGCGAGGTCATTTAAGATATAGTTGAAGTTTTTTTTCTTTCTTCTACACCGGTTGCCAAACAAGACTATGACTCAGTATGTCAAGCTATTTATCGATACCTAGAGAGAGATAAAAGATGGATTCATCGATTTCCCAAAGGTATTTGCACATAATTGAACGTGATTGACTCGATTTCGAACTGGGCTCTAAGATTAGAGCCCCTATGCACTGGACCTCTAAAACATCCTCAATTAATAAAGAGTCCGTGTAAATTATCTGTAAAAGAATATATATATATATATATATATCCAACTAAATATGTTACCTCTATCATTGATATCGATCGCTTTTCAATAGGTACCGCGTATATAATAAATATATATATATAATATATATAAAAAAATTGCATAAATATGTGTGTGTGTGTGCGTGAAAAGTGTGTGTATATAAATATTTATATATATATGTATATACATATATATAATTATTTATATATTATATACGCGGTACTTATTAGAAAGCGCTCAATATCAGAGATAGAGCTAACATATTTGGTTGATTGATGAGTTTAGACCCTGGGTTTCACGCTTTTCATATCGTCAGATCGCAAAAAAGCGAAACCCGTCACATCAATCCAACTATATATAAATACATATATATATATATATATATATATATATATATATATATATATATACACACACACACACACACACACACACATATATATATATAGGCGTCTGGTTAGCATGATCGATTTTAGTGCTTTTAAACTAAAATCTGTAGCACAACTGGTATAGAACGTCAGGCTATATGACGGTTCTGTGTAGGTTACAATTTCGATTCCTGTCAGAAGATGTATATTTTCTATGAAAATTTCTCGCACGTTCAGGCCAGTAAACGTTGTTAATACAGAGCATTTACTGAAATGTTTGTGCCTATATAAATAATGTATGAACTCAAAAATTAAAACATAAAATATATTAAAATAATATTCGGACTTTGGCCATTTCTTCAGTTGTTTACGTTTAGATACGCTTCGAGCAGATATGATCGTTTGATGGAAATCATGGAAAATTGTATTTTAAAAGCAGTAAAATCGTCCTTGCTAACCAGATGCTCGTCTGTTGTTAAACTGATATAGCACGTCAGGTTATATGACGGACCCGCGTAGGTCACAGATTCGATTCCTGACTGAGGACATGTGTTTTCTAGGAAAATCCCTCGGACGTTTATGCATATATATAATTTTACAGTAAAAATGGGTAGATGTAACCGCAAGTTCTATGCTAACGGTTTCTTCTATCGCACTTCTCGCTTGTTGGACTCTTTTGTTGTTTCCCAGTCATCTTTGATCTTCAAAACTTGTCAATCGTTTTCTTCTGTCTTCTTAATTCTAATTCTTTTATTGTTCACTATACTTAACACTGATTTTGCTTATATTCTCTAACAAACCGTAAACCGTCGCGTCTTAGTAGCTTTACTGCTTTGCCTGATATTAGATGATTAAAGATACATACACACACTTCTCGCTGGTAGTCGGCTCTGATAAAATAATTTAATTTATTGCTCCTCTAGGCCTCAAAAATTCCAACATATTTTTCTTACGCACAATATTGTCTTTCACCTTTGCAGCAGAAGGTAACAGAATACTCTATGGCAACATGAAGGCTACTGTTAATCCATGATTCGTGAGGAATCAGAAATAGAAGTGCTGATGAAACAGGACCATTTTTGGTCTTCGGTCTCATGTGTGAATGCGAATCCCACTTTAATCTCAATTTTATGACGTTTGAGTGGACGCAATGATAGATACTGATTTAGCAATTTTGGTTTTCAAAACGAAAAATGTTCAGTCTCTCCCAGACACCATCACTTCTCTTCTAATGGATGGCGGGAACAAGAATTACTCTCCGGAGTTCGGGGCGTCTCAGAATGAAATGCCGAGTATTTTTTTTTTAATCATGTTTGTTGTTCGTGGTTTTTGTGTTTTGATTTTGCTTTTATATTTTGGATTGATATTAAACCTACACAAGGCCCAATGTCCACTCAAGGTAGAGGATTGCAGATTAAGAGGCGCAATTTATGCAGATTTGTGACGAAGATAACGGTTAACCCTATACTTGAACAGGTTAAGATTATAGTGATCGAGGAAGCTCCTACTGGGAGTCGGTTCCACACAGTAACGGTTCGTGGAAAAAAGCTGCTCGAGTGGAACTTACATCTCACCAGAAGAATACGAAAGGAATGTGAATGGTTTGCTACAGTGTCTTTGACATGAAGTTTAGCACTGGTGGAACTAAGGAATGTAATTCATCTGAACACTTTCCATGGAAAAAACGATAGAGCAACGAGAAGCTTACAACTTTTCGTCTGTGTAAAAGGGGCTCCCGGTGGAAAATAATTCATCACCCACAAGGACGCGAGAGACGGTTTTGGACTCTATCAAGACTGGAAAGCGAAGATTGGGTAACTGCTGCCAATATATGAAAGCAATATTCTATTTTCGGCTTTAGCTGGCTTTTGTAAAGTTAGAAAATGACAGAAGTAGTCAAGTGCTCCCTGGAGCGACACAGGGGACCTATCATTTTTTTCAGTAACTTTAGCGATGGATCATATTTACGAATTCTACCCTCTGGGTTCAACTTAAGTCCCAATAGGAGCTCAAGGCTTCGTTGAGAGAATATCACGATAGGTGAAGATTCAGGATCAGCAAGGCGATGATGGAACATGTCTAGGCAAAACCCAGAAAAGTTTACCTTAATAAAAGAACAATTAATCCAGTAAATAAGATAAAGGTGTTACACCCTGAGGATACATATCTCGTCTACCCGTAAATCAAGCCAACAGAACTCCTTTAGTCAGAAATACCGTACCGGTCTGAATCCTCGAGTACTAAGAAAATCTTGCAGATATATGAGGATTAAAAGCCTCACCTGGAGAAGGGATTAACATAGATTACTCGGTGATGCATTAGCAACCCCTAACCATCCCGACTGGAGTATATGCAATGCAGCGAAGAAAAATCGAGAAATGGTTTTGGACTCTAAAACGGAGTGTAAGATAAGTTGATTAAAATATTGAAATATGAGACCAATTTTATTTTTAACGACTTAAGGAGAAGGGAGGATTTTTCAAAATATATGCGATAATATAAAATCTGAATACTGTCGTATTGCCGCAGCCGGCTACGGTTAACTTGTGGCACTGCCCAGTATCGTATATTCGAATTACAATGAGAAATAAATGCATATCTTGAAAACGAGGCACACGATTATGCTAGCTACTCCGTAAATACAAATTTTAAAACCAATTTGCGTGATATCTTTGAATTGATGAATGTATCTGGCTGCACGAAAAGTTTTACCAGAAAATATATAAAAAGAAATGTAATTTAGATTCATTTTATGCTATCCTGCTGTTTGGGCCTCTCAGATGGCTTGGGAACTTTGCGCGCATGGATAAATCCATAATTCCCAAACCAATACTGTATAGGGCACTGTCTGAGGTTACGCGTAACGTTGGAAAACCCAAGCTTCGATTCAAGGACCAGTGTAAAGCGTTCATGAAGGAATTTTCTATCGATGTAGCGAACTGGAATGCGGTTGCCTCGTATCGAGTCGGGTTGAGACATGCTATGGCTTCCCTCTGTCTTTTCTAAAAATATTTTCATGGCAACAGCTCTGACGAGGTACTTTTACTGGCAACCCAATTGCATGAATTTAAGCGTGCTACTAGTCTGCCCCCTCGGTCCCACCCTTTCACTGTCAAAACGGTTAAATGTAACCGTCTCTTCAACTCCAAGAGCATCATCTCTCGCCCTTCCCGACAGTGGAACTCCCTCTCTCCTATTTGCTTCCCTGATGCTTATAATCGTCAAATATTCAAATGTAATGTCAATCGACATCTTCTGATGCCTTGATCCTGATTTCCGTCCTTCTCTATATCCTTTCCTCAAACAACTTTCTTTACTCTTGCTCTCACTCTCTGTTTTCGCGGGAGCAAAGTTCTATGAAGAGAATAGAGTCCAGCGTGTCGTAGAGGCTAGACAATGGCACAAATGTCTCACGGTGGATAACTCTCCAATAATATACTATTGTAGTTGAGGCCAAAAAACCTTGCCGGTCGTAGGTTGGTTGTTTTAGCTACGAGCAGCGCTGGGTTTTTTTTAGCTGCCGACAGTCACCATCGACTTAAAAGAGCAAAAGACATATCGATCGCGAATCAAAAGGTTCATTATATATTTCAAAATAGAAGAGTGGGACATTCTGAGAAAAGCAATGAATCAAGATATATAGTTCTATCAACGAACTTTACAACAAATAGAATGGAAAAGAATTAATCTAAGCTTAACGCTTTGAGCCCTGACCTCCGCTTTACCGGTGATAGAGAAAAAATGACGTAATGCCCAGCCACCGGTTGAACGGTGGGTAAACACTTGTAACTCTTTTTATATCTACTGTGAAACATTATATACCAATTATTTGCGAATTTTTGAGCTCAGGCAGAAAAATTAACTCAGGGTTAAAATTGTTCAGGAACACATGACTCAAAGGGTTAACATCAAATTTGTTAGAACTACTTCATAAAAATACTTAATATAAAGCAAAATAATATTACCTTAAACTTGAAGGGGGAATTCACTTTATTAGCTGTAATGAATGCCACGAGGGATACATAAGCGAAACCTCAAGAAATTTAAATAAAAGATTATAGGAACACAAAACAACACAATCAATCAATTTGTTTCTCATCGTAATGAGACAGATCTTACTTTTAATTTAAAAAAATGCTACTTTAATTAAATAGCGAAAACAATTTACTAAGACGGAAATCTATAAAAAATGCTTTAATCGCTAAATCCTCAGCAATAAATTTACGTCCAGATTCTTACAGTTCACATTTCTTGACAGATCTTCTATTATCCCGAGGTAGAATATTTAATAGAAAACGTGCTTAAATCATAAAGAAAAACATAAATTAATGAAATTGGTTGGGCTATAGACACAAAATATTTTTGAAATGTTTAAATTAAGGATTTCCCTCTTTCCTTCGTTCGTATGCCCAGCAGCATCAACGTTAACATGACTTGGGCCCGATGAAGTCACAAAACGCATGAGACAAAAACTTTCCAATACTGCTTATAAAAAATGTAATCAATTTTATTTTTAATGACAGTAGCTGAACAAGGAGGCGAATTATCTCTTCCGTGTTTAAGGTAATCTGAATTCCCTCCGTAAAATAATACGTAATTACTTTCCGAAAAAACTCATGTAAAGCCTCGCTCGTCAATTTCAATAATGTATGCATACACACACATATATACATATACACACACACACACATATATATATTTCAGTGCTCCATCAAGATACTAAGAAGCAAAAACTTAAAATTCTGGAAGCCATTTATATGAGAGAATTGCGGTTAAAATTAAATAAATTAACTACGAGTGGGGCAAAAAAAGTTCTTAATTGTTTGTAGCAGCAAAAGTGTTAGATAAAAAATAATAAATTAAAATGCTACAATTAAATAATCACATAAGTTACCTCTTTTGCATAGAGGTAAAAAATTTACAGCCCACCCATACATTGCATAACGCATCCATATATATGCAACCCCTGAAAATGGTCTCAGATGAGATTGAAAGTATTTATGAAAATAAAAATTATTCGTAAGAAAATTTTGAATTTTTTATTAAGCAATTTTCTACAGCCACCTAACCACCGCTTAACTTGGAGCATGTGCATGCAAATTTTGGTGCAAATCCGTCGAAAATTGCGGCCGTGCATTGGTTACACACACACACATCCTGCCTTTTATAGATAGAGATGATTTTCTAATTGTAGCTTAGATGTGGCACAAGGCCGAAAGTATGGGGCACGCAATGAAGATCGTATCTACTACACACTCGTAATTGTTCTCATGAGATAAGCTTGTTAACCATTACTGGATGTATCGGTTATTTCCCTTTAATTCAACTCTACATGTTTTTGGTTGTGGTTAATGACATTAGTTAAATCAAAGGACTAAACCCAAAAGATTTCTGAGTCTAACACCAGGCCACAACTTCCAATCACCTGAAGAAGGCCGGAGCGTACAACTGTCGAAACATTGTGAATGTGGCAATGAAGATGAGGATAATAGTCCAAATAATGTATATAATGCAAGAAATCACAATACCTCATCTCAGAGATACAATCAGCTGAATAAGGCTGGAGAGTACAACGGTCGAAACGTTGTGAATATGGCAATGGAGATGAGGATAATAGTCCGAATAATGTAAATAATGCGAGTAATCATGATATCTCATCTCAGAGACCACCTGAAGAAGGCCGGAGCGTACAACGGTCGAAACGCTGTGAATATGGCACTTTTGTAATGTCAACGAATACTCCTTGTCACTTTCGTAATGCTCGTTGTAGAAGAGATTTTGTAATCGCAGATACAACTATAGTAACGCCGTTGAACAATACTGGTGTCACACGCCTTCGAATATCACTCGCACTAATAAGGACTAGCTCGATAATACTCGCTCGAATAGTAACCACCGAATATTGATCCGAATAGTTATCCGTATAGGGATCACTTAGACGCCACGCTAATTCCCATATATACATTTCCTTTACCATCATGTGATCTACTTATTCAAAATGGGATCGCCTGTGTTTGCTCTCTGATGATCTGTGTTCAAACTCCAGTGTCGGCAGTGATACTTTATTTCTATATAACACTTTTTTCAATCAGTTCACTCCAAGGAAGGTGATACTTACCCTAAAATGTATTAAAGTGAAAGAGAATGAAAACGATTTTAAAAAGAACCGAAAACCCAGTTCTATGGGGTAAACAATGGATAAACCTTCACTCCTGTTCAAAAGATCGGGGAGAAGCGTGAACCGGACGAGAGGCGACCCTATCTACTCCTCTCACTTCGTTCTCCATTTTCTAGGCTTTCTACTTCCTACCTACCTACATTTTTTTCCTTTTTTCTCCAATTCCCGTTCATCCATTTTTTCTTTTCCCCTCTTCTTCCTTTGTTTCTTTCTTCTCCCTCTCTCTTTGTCTTTCTCTTTCTCTCTTTCTAACTTCTTCCTTATCATGTCGCTTTCTCCTTTTACTTCACTCCTGCATTCTCTCTCTTCCATCCCTGTCTCTACATGTTCCCCCTCCCTCTTTTATCCCTCCTATTTTTCTTTCCTCTGGTTTCCCTCTTTCCACCATATCATTTCAACTATCCCTCTTTTCTTTCACCCTTTCTTTCTATGTTTCTTTCTGTTATGGTCCGGTTCCTTGTGCCACGGTGATAGTCCAAGGTAAAACCAATAAAGAAGAACTCGAACGTAGGTATGAAATAACACAGATATATTACAGGAATATATACAGAGAAGTAGAAAGTGTTAGTACGAACAATCAGGTTTAGTAGTAATTGTCTGACCGCGACTCTGCTTCGGACTGCCTCTGACTCGACTGACTGACTCGCTCTGACTGACTGACAGACTACTGACGGACCTCACCCCAGACTTCAGACTGAACAGTATTTAGTCACCCCCCCACGAGGGCATCATGTGGCACAAGGCCGGTTTAACGTGGGATCTCCGAGCCCGTAGGCTCGGCTACAAATACGCCCTTTAAACCCGTATGAACAGGTTCAGGGTCGGTTTACCTCCCCGAAATAGACTCCGCCCTTCGGCGTAGCCTCGTTCGGGTTCCTCCCCGGCAAAAGGCAGATAGTTCAACCGATCAGCTGATCAGCCGGTCGCCCAACTTCGGACTGAACTCCCTGCTTTCTCTTGAGACGCAGTATTTATTACGTATGGAATAGTCCATTATGTTATTATGGGTAAGGTCCCATAACACTTTCCGTCTTTCCTTATCTTCCTACACTTTCTTTCCTATATTGCATCCCCAAGTTCCTTCTTGGCGCTTCCTTTCAGCCCAATCTTTCTTTTATCCCTTCTGTCTTAAGTAGCCCCTCTTTATTTCTCTATATTCTCTCCTACTTTCCTTTCCTTCTTTTTTCTCCGTTCCTGCCCTCAATTTATCTTTCCCTGATCTCATCCAACTAACTATTATTACTTCATCTTCTTTTTATCTTTTATTCCTCTCCTTCTATCAACTATTTCCTTTTCTTTCTCCCTCTCCCACTTTCTCTCTCTCTCTCTCTCTCTTCTCTCTCTCTCTCTCTCTCTCTGACACACACACTTTCTCTCTAACTTCCCCTATAAATCCCTTATTCCTTTTCATTTTCTTTCGAGCTTCATCTTCCCCCTGTTCCTCAAATGTTGCTCTCTTCTCCACTTTGCCTTTCTCCGGACACCTCTCATTGTCTCCGTTCCAAAACAAGTAACCTTATTCTTCAGCAAAACCAATCAGCTGTCTCCACCGCCTCAAAGATTCTTGCTCCTCCGACACCATCCAAAGAAATCCTGATCGCCCCCCTACTCCATATCCCGTGCGTACGAAGCGGCAAGGCGTGACAGACAAAACCAACGGCAAAAGCAACGAGGCAAACCATTTTACCAGCACCATGTGAACAACTCGAGGTTCATGTTGTAATTGCCAGCCACTTCAGAGTTTCTTGTCTTGACATCGTTCGGCCTTTTCTCACATTTCTTTATTCCAGTCACGCCGCATCTAATTGGGGTCAGGCGAGGCGCGAACACACGCAGCACAAACCTGAATCGTTCGACATGAGATGCCGGCAGGTCACTGGGCAGACGAAGGCCAGGAATTCATCATAGTATCATGACTGAGAATTACAATGAAGGAAAAAGCTTTCTTGCTGTTGATTAAGATATTCAATTTTTCTCTATTAATACCTCTTAAAACACTTTTTAATTATATATATATATATATATATATATATATATATATATATATATATATGAAGAAATATACTTTTATACTATGCACTATTTATAGGAAAAAGTGCTCAATATTAGAGATAGAGCGTAAGTAAAGATAAGAGTAAGCATTAAATCAAAATTCTGACCTGAATATTGCGTTAAGCATGAAACAGTCTGTCGCCTTATATATATATATATATATATATATATATATATATATATATATATATATATATATATATATCACAATGGCCTTCTAACAACTTAATTTATTCAGTTAGTGATTTACAAAGGAGGCCGCATATGGAGCATGACTAAGGTTTGTGGGATGAGATCACTGTTAGATTGACTGTCCTTTTAGATCTTGCTCTCGCTTCTTGGAGACGATTCTGACAAGCTGATTGAAAACTGCTGAGTCCCCTAAAACACGTTGATCACTATTCTACACGCACCAAGTCTAAGCACGCGAGGGTATTATTAGGTTGACAGCCCACAATATATATTTGTGAGCTGTCAATATACCTCATATATATATAGTATATATATATATATATATATATATATATATATATATATATATATATATATATATATGGTGAGGCTGAATTACTTCCGTCATAATTGTAAGATTAGCTAGATGAAGAGAGCATTGCCAGTAATGTCTTGCCATTATGTGGGGGTATTTGGCGCACCCTGTATATAAAAGAATTGATAGATTTTTTTAAAACCTATATTGCTTCTTATTGTTTTATTTTTGTATTTCAGTAGATGCATGTGTTTGAGTAGACGATCTGTTAATTTTTTTAAACTTAAATTGCTTCTACTGATCTGTTCATTCAAGAATGTTAAGAAAAAACAAATATGCCCTGTGACAAGATTGGAACCTAGGTCCCATTTCTAGAAGAAATCACCAACTGATACGATTTGCCTTAGTCCGCGCTGCCATAATGCTGGGATGTGATTCTCATTGTCGGCGAAAGGTAGAAACACACCGGATCATATGGTGGATTCTCGTAGAAAAAGGTACGCAATTTTAAACACCGCCGAAGGGCATATTTACTTTCTGAAGATTTATCGAATGCATTAGTCTGTATATGTAATTTACAATGTTTAAAACAAAACAGGGTGTCTTCAAAACACACGTATCAACTATAATATGACCTTATATATATATATATATATATATATATATATATATATATATATATATATATATATATATATATATATATATATTTAAAATGGACAAAGTCCGACAATTATTTTTTATAGATACAGCTATTTAAGTAAATGTTCTGTTTATAATAAATGTTTATATATTTATAATATATATTTGTATCTATAAAAAAAGAATGTATAAGCATAAATATGTCTTTATATATATATATATATATGTATAAACATAAAAAATGTCTTAAAATAATTGTCGGACTTTGTCCATTTCATAATGTGTGACGTAATTTGTTTACATTTGGATACGCATTGAGCAGATGTGAATGTACGTGAGAGAATCATGAAAGATTGTGGTTTAAAAACAGTAAAATCGACTTTGCTAACCGAACAATCCTCTGTGGCCTAATCGGTAAAGCACGTCAGGCTATATGACGGTTCCGTATATGATACAAGTTCGATTCCTGTCGTGGGGCGCACATTTTCTATGACAATTTCTCGGCCGGTAAATGTTGTTAATACTGTTTATTATAAACAGAACATTTACTTAAATATTTGTATCTATAAAAAAAGAATGTATAAGCATAAATATGTCTTTATATATATATATATATATATATATATATATATTAGAAATTTACTTATTTAAGAATATGGTTCCATCGCTACGCAGGAATTACCATGTTTCAAAAACAGAATGTAAAAACTTCAAATCAATTATAGAATTAAATTGAAGTCAATAGTTCTGTTTCATTTTCAAGCGAATTTTGGAATAAGTTCTTTTGAAATTTAAAGAGTTTTATAAGGACATACATTTATAATATTAGTTTCTATGGATATAGGGAAATCCATTCATTTTAACAAGGGGTGGTAGGGTATTCTTTTTCATTGACAACTATTGTATCAACATATTAGTTACTTTGGAAAAGAGGTTAAGTCAAGGAAGGGTAGGAGTGTCTTTTCAAACGAATGATGACATCCATTCAACGCATGTCGTCTGGTCTTTTTCAACGGCAAAATTTTTTCGGCGCTTTTGTTTCACCGTTAAATGTGTACTTGTATACATAAAGATTTTTTCTAAACGGGTTCTTTGTATATGAATACGTCGTATTGAACCACAATTTTAAAATATTATTCTTAGCTTTAATTACTAATAGACTATACATCTTTTCAAACAAATAAATATAACAGAATTATTTAAAAATTATTATTAAATAGGAAATATAAATATGTATATTTCATTTATCAGTTTTTTTTTTTTAAATTAGACATTGCTTAAGAAAAAATTTGACAATGTCAGTAAAGAATAGCTATTTCATTTCTTTGGTTAAGTAAATTTTTACTTTTTATAAACCTAGTAATATATAGTTTCTCATGTATGCACAAATATCATTATAATATATATATATATATATATATATATATATATATATATAGTAATGATACAATATAGTAATCCGTATCGAATTTCCAGGAGAATATAGATCCAGGGAGAGCTCTATGTCAAGAGACAGAGCAAATATATTATTAATTAAAGTATATAAAACATTTAAAATCCCATAGATAATAATTTTTATTTCATGAGATCTCTACGAAAAGCAGCTCTTAATCTTCATGGCCTACAAACAAATCACCAATTACATATATATATATATATATATATATATATATATATATATATATATATATATGTAAATGGTTCACGTGTGTCTCTTATAATATGTAGATTCAATAAACTGGTTGATACATTTGAAGAATAAAACCCAACAAAATGATATTGACAAAAATCTTGGCGATATTTCTTATATATTATCCTTTTGTCTAAAGTACGAAGCACTTCTTGCCCTTTTTTTATGCACATACAGAATCTCTTGGGACGCTTGGAGATCGTATTGGGTGAACATTAGCATAAAAAGACTAACAACAGATCAATAATACAAAAATTAAGAACCAAACGTGATATCGCTAGAATTGGATAAAAGAAATAAAATATAAACCCGTTGATTAAATAAATCAATTTAAATTAAATAAAATTTGGTTCGAAATTCCGAGATTATCCAGGTTGGCGAACACTTGAAGATGAAACCTCCTGGAAGAAGATGGGGACTTTACACGTATATGATGAAAAATACTCACCTTTGAAATTCAGAAAGTAAAACTGATTGATAAAGAAAATAAACCACGTAACGGTTTAGCTACGAGATGGATCTTTTCAATCTATGTCTATACAATTCAAGTGAACGAAGTATAGATACTGATTAATATAAGCACAGCTTATAGTTATCAACTAGCTTGGGTCTTTAGAGATCATAAAGTTCTGTTACACTGTAGGTATTCGAATGTGACTTATTCAAATCATTTTTTTGTACTCTGAAAAAAAAAAAAAATGATCTCCGAGATTTGCTGGAATTCAAAAATTCCAAAGTGGAAATAAATCCTGTAAGATATTCACATTCTTCTAAAAGTAATCCTGAACTCATTTCAATTACTAGTCTAGCAAAAAAAACTAAATACATTGTCGCATTAAAATTCTCAAGATATGCCTTCACACACACACACACACACACACACACACACACACACACACACACACATATTTATATATATATATATATATATATATATATATATATATATATAATGGCTTTAAAGGAAATTATATCGGTGATCGCCTTAAAAGCCCTGAATATATTAAATTTTCGAATGATTCATATATATATATATATATATATATATATATATATATATATGTGTGTGTGTGTGTGTTGTGATGGGAATAGACATTTATGTGATTTTTGTTAATTGATTTTCAGTGGACATTAAGTTTTAAAAGTCGTTATCGAAATTCGTAAGAGATCTAGTTGATAAGTTAATTCAGTTGATAAGTTAATTCAGTTGACAACTTGATAAAAATCACAGACAAAACGATAAAAAAATTCACCAACGGCTTAATTCAAAGAATATTCGCTGCCAATCTAGAAACCAAAATCGAAAGAACTTTAAGAGAGACAATTAAATGCACAAAGGAAGCTAGTTAAACATAAGGCTATATATATATATATATATATATATATATATATAGTATAAAATGACAATTGGAAAAAAAATCTTAGATTTTGCCGAAGCTTTTACTCTTCCAAATTTTTCAAGGCAAAAATGAAATCTAATATATATATATAGCCCAAATAAATAGTTTAAATACCCTAAAAAAAGATAACCCTTTATGAAGTCGTCAAAAAACAAACGTTACTTTCATAAAAAAATAAAAAAAATAAAATAAATAAATCTCCATAGACATGCAAACTAGACGAGGGTAAATACATCTTCCGTTTCAAATTTAGACACCCCCACCTTTCCCTGACTTGACATCTATGAAAGTAACTCTATATTGATACTTATTATTAACACCCAACACTCGCCTACCCAATTTAAACAATTCGCCCTAGCTGTTACCATGGAAATTTTGATTTCAATTTTTAAAACACGTAAATTTCAGAAATACGTTATTCCCCAAAAATTTCTCTTGAAGATGGAACAGAGCTCACTTTAACTCAATTTAATTCAAATAATTATATTCAAGTTTTCGGCTCTTGTTTTGAAACATGAGACCTCTTATGTCGCGAGTTGGAATCATATTTTTAAATAAATAATTATATATATATATATATATATATATATATATATATATATATATATATATATATATAAAAAGATGAAATGTAGAT